TTTTTGAGCAAAAATATAAAATGAAAATGGAATAAATCTATGGCTCTTTACTCTGTTACATGACATTTTAATAATTTACCCCAATACTTGCCACTATGTAGGGTTTTTTAGCTCCGTCCCTTCAAGCAGTTATTGTTCTGGACATGCCTGTTAAAAACTAAAAGTGAAATTGTTCCTCCTTCCCCTTGCCTTCTTTCTATTTCTAAATTCATTGGCAAAAGGATGTTAGTGAGATTGTGTATCTATAAGATTACCATGCAGCAGTGAACTTATCCTGGTGTAACAATTTAGAGGTAGTTAAGGCATGAAATACAAATATCACACTCTAGAATCCAAGACACAGAACTCGACAAATCTATCTCTTCTAAGTCTACTATTTCCACCTTGCCTTTTTGCATGCAGGGATTTCTGGATCATGTGTAACAGGAGGAAATCAAATGATAAGAAAGGAGTCATTAAAGCCAAGTTTACTAAGTTTTCTTAACTGCAGTCTCCTGCAAAGAGGGAAGCATACTAGGTCTCTGGCTTCTGCCCTACCAAGTCTTTGAGGCTATTCTGATTCATGCTGACTGAGCAAATGGCTATTAATTTAACAAGTAAAAGATTGGTATTTGGTTAGTGAACCAAACAGTTCACCACAAACTACAAAAGTACTGATCTACTAACAGTTTCTGTTCTGAAAAGCAGCTTTGACTTATCTTCAAAGCATCTTAATTAGCCTGCTTATTGTTGGATGCCTAACTGCATACTAAGAAACTTTTAATTTTATTTGCTATTTGTTATCTCATAGGTTTGATGGTATGTGTTTATATTGGTTCAAAGCCAAAAAAAAGCCTTCAGGTTTTTAGGGAAAGTGTTCTTCTGAATCCAGACTAAGTCACAGCATCAACTTCCTTTATTCTGACTGGAGCACAAGTTGAACTTTGGAAAGTGCAGGTGTCTTTTGATTACTGTTAATTTTTAACAGATTTCCTTAACCTGTATGTAGTGTCAAGAGACCTGAGTCTGATCAGACTGCCTCTTGTCCTGCAAATAAACTTCTTTTTTTGTTGTTTTTGCTTTAGTTTTTGGAGGGATGGAGGAGATACGATGAAAAAGCTGAAATATTTCAGCTGTCTCTCCTAGCCCATGCTTTCTATCTGTAAGAGATACTTCAACTTGGCAATATGGGACTTGCATTGGAAAGTTGCTGGCAGCTCTTTGAATTCCTTACGTCCCATAAAAAGAGTGCAGAAAAATATAGGAATAACTAAATAAAGAGCTAAACAGTGAATGACAAAACCTGTTTAATAAACTTTCTGATTTTACTTTCCTCTGCTGTAAAATTCATAGTCCTTCTTTTCCATGTATGTAATCCACCTATACTCTTGCACTTGCACCCAGTGGGTGTGATTTCGCCCATTTAAGAGTACCCCAATGAAGCCAGCTTCACTTCCGCCAGTGCAGGACTGTTCCTTTGTTAATCCTTGAGTCCTCTAGCTGCAGCTTTAGATGGTTCATCTGACGCCATTCCCACCACTCCTGCACAGAAGTTATTCCACAGTCTGATAGAAACATCACTAAGAAACTGTTCCACACTCATTTTGTTGATTTAAACCTAGATTGTGCAAACAACCCAACCCAGCTAATTTGGGAGATGACTTAAATCTACCTGTCATTTCTCCCCCCTCATGATCAGTACAGATTGAAAGCACAACGCTTTGCTCCATCCAGAAGGTTGGGAGGAAAACCTTTGCTTCTTTCAAGTCAAATCCATAACCGCCATCACCAGAATGTTGTCACTTAAGTGAGCTGTGTATGTTTTAATTTTTCCTTTTCTGAGATGTGATTTCAGAATTAATGAATGTTTGTGTGTTAATGAGGGAATTTGTATTAGAAAACCCCCACTAATTTGCTAGGCCTTTGTGCCATGAAATTACAGTCTTTGCTGGTGCTCTGATTGCCATAGGATGTCTAATTGATTGTATTGGTGTAAATTAGTAACATCTCCATTTTGGAGACAAAGGTTTTATGTGAACATTAATGAGTTCAAATCCTGTTCTGGGCCTTTTTCATTCTTTGCTGTTAATGCAAAGACCAGCCTTTTAGTAATAGTCAATGAAACTAATCACTTAGATAATTCTTTTGGTAGTTGTTTCCAAGTCATGCTTTTGTTACAGATGTATGAAGAAATTTTAAAAGAAGATCTGCAAGACAGGGATAGTACTGTGGGCAGGACATGTGTGCTGTGACTGAGAGCTAATCCAAGAAACCTCATCATTTCTGAAAGTGCATTACTTAGCGAGAGTTATTTTCCTTATTGTCATACATTCAGCACTAAAACTTTTATCTGCAGGACAGCAGGTTTTGGTCCTAAGAATGTCATGTTTTCAGTACTGTTTAGGTCTTTTTGCTAAGTTGTTTGGTTTGTGGTTCCTCTTATGGTATTATTTTGAAATAAGACTACTCTGACTGATGCTACTTTCTTCACTACTAGGAAAGGAAAGTCCTCCAGTTAGTGATGTGCCAGATGATGCAGATGAACCTATGCCTGTACCAGAGGACCTTTCAACTAGTACTGGAGGACAACAGAGTGCCAAGAATGAGAGATTCTTGGGTAAGATGACTAGTCCACTCTGATAAGAAATATTAGTACATAATATAATATGCCAGTAGTCTTAAAGCACTATATAATGAGGTGGTATACAGGCAGGTCTTGTGAATTTTCATCTTGTTCAGCACAGGATGACTCAAGTGCTTACTGTTTTTTGTGCAACCTTTTCATTGAGAAAGGCATTTTGAAGTACAGAAAGCCTTTTCATCCACAGAGAAGTTAGTTATAAAGATCCTACTAATCTTATTTCTAAAGTGTCACTTATTGCATGAAATTCTCCCCAGGAAAGATGGTTTTCATTCTGCGTAGGAGATGGAATTAAATATGTGGTTCCTGGTCTCCTGAACTCAGATTTGATAAAAATTTAGTGTGAACTCTCAGGTATTTTTATTATTATTTTTATTATTAATTTGAATGCTATCTTGAATGTTATCTACTATTTAGATTTCTCTATAAATGCCACATTAGTACACACATAGCATTCATATGTTTCAGATTCCAATGGCTGATCTTCATTTACTCTTGAGTTTTACTAACTGGCAGAACTTTACAAAGCACTTGAATTTTGTTCTCTTAGGAAAGTCCACAATTGATAAAATTTGTTGGATAAAGATAAGCTATTTTCCAGAAACAATTTTACAAAATGATAGTTCTTCTTAGGGATCCCAGACTCCACACCATGGACTAGAAACACTGCTGACTACTGCATGCACCAACTCACATACAGTCCACTTAAAAAGACTAAATGATATTATTTGAGTACAATCCTTTTTTACTAGTAATAAGAAAAAAAAGGGGGGGGGGGTCGGTGGTAAAAGCACAGTGACTCCCAGAATACTGTGATCAATGCCCTGTATGATAAAAGTATTTCAGGAGAGGAATGATTATCAAAATATGTTTGTTTATCCACAAATAAAAGTCCTGCTCATAATTTTTACATTTCTGTACTAAGGCTCAGGGTGGAAGACTGCTTACAGAAAGACTGCAAGTGTCTTTACACATTTATTGTCTAAATAAGTCTGATAAAAGTCAGTAGGGTGGAAAAGGAGACCACAGAAGACAAAATAATCAGGTCAAGGTAGTACAGCAGAATGGTGTTAGCATTAGGAGTAGACCCTACTCCTAAACTCCAGGACTACCTAGTAGAGAATGCATCTTGTGCATCTTCACTTTATTTAACACTTGATCCCCTCTTTCCAAAAATGTGAGCATAAAGTTCAGCTCCTACATGCATACTGATATACTCTATGAACAAATTGATTTTTAAAAATGCTTTTTAATATCTGATCACTTACCTAGTGTTTTGTTTCTCAGTTCAAAGCTTTTTGGACAAAATCTTGCTTTTACTGCTTGTGTATTAACGTTTAACCTTGGAGTCAAAATTTATCACCCTTTTTCATCAATTTACCATTTTAAAGATCAAGGATTAAAGGAAATAAGCTATTTTTTAGAAAAGAAGGATAGGCTCTAGCTTCAAAAAAATCTTTTCTCACTTCCTCCATCCTGAAGGCTGAGGCTTGTATGTGGTGCTATAGACCTGATAGAGTGCCATCTGAAACATATCACCTGCTCTGAGAATGAAGGCACAGTAGAGACTTCAGAAGTTAAAGTACTCAAATCACCTGCCAGATTTTCTTGGGTGCCTTCAGATTTTGAGTGTGTCACTTAAAATTACTAGAGAGGGTGCAAATGTCATAAAGGAGGTGTCCAGAGGTTCATGAAGTGTATGCTTTGATGTGTTTCCCCAGACAGGGGCACCCAAGATGTGTGTTGCTTCTGACCAATACAAAAATGATAGCTAGTGTAAAAAGGTCATTTGTGGAAGTAAAGTCATCAAAAGTTTCTAGTAATATAACCCAAAGCAGCTCAACAAAGCAGAAACATCTTAAAAGACATGTTCTGGTCACTGCTATATCTCTTCATTTCCTTGATGAGCTTGCTATGTTTTTAATGTTGTGACTCCCAGAATGACACTATGTGTTCAGCAGCTTCTTCCTGCAAGCTTAATTTCTGATGCTTATGTGCTTCCTCCTTCCTTGTCATCTTCTCCACCCCAAAGTTCCTTCTCAGACTGATCTGATGCCTAAAACTTTTTTACTGTTTTGTCTTCTTACTCTGCTCACCAACCTGCTCTACAGTTAATTTTTCTAGAAAACACAGGGAATGTTTTCAGCCAAGCAAAGAACTGGTTTCTCACAGCTCTTTAAGGCACTGGAGACTCTTTTAGGATCTCTCCTAAATATCCTTTTGAAATTATGATCTAACTTATTCAAAAGTACACATCCCACCTAAATTTCCATTCAGAATTGGTGCTTTGCAGCCTATTTTGGACACGCAGCCCTATTTCCCACGCTAACATGTAACATAAGAGCTGATTTGAAATATCTTCTGCTGATTCTTACTGTCTCTATTCAAGTTTCAGGTTAAATATTTGGTGCACCTTTTGTGGATAATCAGTACTGAACATCCTGTATGTGGTAGAGGTTGCAATTTAGGGCTGTTTCTACCCTGGGACTAATTCAAGTCATTTTTGGGAAACTAATGATTCAGTGAGCTGTAGGCCAGACCTTACTTCATGAAGAAAAAGCCATTTGCTGTAGCTGCAGTATTTGTCTAGAAAGGCAAGCAGTACCTTCCTTTATCAGTAACTGCTTGTACTGTAGCTGGCCATCAATGGATAAAAGCCACTGATGCCATCTCACAGTGTTACTGGCCTCAGAAAGAGTCTGTGGGCTCATCATTTCTGCACAGGCGGCTGTCAGGTGCTGAAGATGACTTCCAACTCAGAAATCAAGGGTTTCTCACTAAAAAAAGTGATCATCATCATTGTCACGTGTTACAGTCTGGACCTGGAATATATAACGTGTATGTTCTTTCTGAGACAAGAGGTAGAGAGAACTCATCTCACAAAATTGAGTTGAAACTCTTGAGCAACTGACAGAAGATGCCTAAAGTAACAACTCAAGATCTTAGACATCAGTAGAAGACAGATGAAATTTATATGAAGTTAGAAACTCACAATTTGTTTAAAATAAAGCACACTAGTACAGGAAGAGATATTAAAAGCAAAGAGGTTTTTGTCGTTTTTCTCCAGTGGAAAATGTCAAGTGAGTGGTGTTGCCTTCTTCCCACAACCCAGTTACTGAAGAAGAAGCCTGGGAAGTTGCAGAGCCTCAGTGCCTGGCATCACTGACATTGCCTTTGCATCCTGGGGATGCCATGGGCAGTCAGAGGTGGTAATCTGCACGAGTAACTGGTTTCTGGTGCAGGCAAGCATCCTCACTCTGAGCTTCTTCAGTGCTTTATTTCCTTAAAAGGAACTCAACCATTTGAGAACATGGACAGGAGCATTGCTGAGGGGCCACCAGGCAAACCACAGCAGCTTGCCATTACATAAATCCATTGCAACCCACACATAGCTGGGTGGAGGCAGAGTAAAAGTGTGGAAAGGCTGCAGACAAAGGGGAGAAGGGAGAAAGCCAAAAGGGGAAGTGCCCCACCCCAGCTTGCAAAATCAGTCCTGTTACTCAGACAGGTTCAGCTTGCTGTTGCCCTGGCATTTCTTGAGGGCAGGAAAAGGGGCTGAGGAAAAAGACTGCCACAGCTAAACATCTTTGCGTGCTCCTCCTATAGAAGCTCATTCACTACGAAGGAAGTATGTTGTGTATGAGTTATAAGATGCACGTGTGGCTTGTGTGCACGTGGACACGTAATCATTCAGAGAACTGAAGTAACCTGGAGGGCTCTGTAATGTGCTTTACTTTCTCAGGTTTCAGACAGGCATCTCTGTTGCTCAGAAGTATGAAAGCTTGTAGGAGCTGACGAGCCATTGTAAATTGTTGCTAGTAACTGCTGTCTCACCTGATGTAGCCCTACTGGCTCTGAGTGCAGAGAGAAAATTTGTTATAAGATGGTTTGGGGAGTCATTTTTAATCATCCACAATGAAACAAGTCCTTGAAAGTCCTACTAAGGAGGCTTCTGAAGGAATTGGAAGGCTTGTAACTAAATATTTTAGGAACTTTTAGAAATAGGGAAGTTGGGAATCTCCCATCTTGTTGGTCCAAAGCCCCTGGTTTTAGTCCCAAAATATGGACTGATATAGTATGCTCTGAGAGCCTGCCAGTGTGACCTATCTGTTCTTAAGAGGAACACAGCAGATATTTCTGTCTGGATTATTTTCATTTTGTATGCAAAACTTTTCTGGGAATCTTTATGGAGAGAAAGATGGGGGTGGTTTACTACATGGGAGAAAGCATGTAGCAAATTTCATGAATGCCCTTATATATGATGTATAGGATATATGGTATATACGAGCCTTCAAAGGTATGTTTTGCATGTGCACAGTATGAAAGTGTGTGCTGGACTGAAGTGCAGAGGACCCAGGTATGCAGGGCCATTGGTAAGCTGAGGAATTAGCCACGCTCCCAGAGACAAGCTCTGCTCAATGTAATGACTTAGGACTTCAAAAAAAATGCGCATGAATTTTCACAAGGTCAGTAGGAAATGGCTGTCTTTCGAAAGGCAAATTCCTTTATCAGATTTGAAAATGCTTCTGCAAGTAGTGAGGGTGAACATTTTCAAAGCAAACTTGCAAGTACTTTCTAGAAGGAAGAGTGAGCTAGTTTGGAAAGAAGAGCTGTCACAGTCCACACACAGGCTGTGCTGCATTAGAACAGTTAACTCAGCCTGCATATAAGCCAGGGCAGAACCACTGTGTAAGCAGGCATGTAAAAATTCATCTTCTGATGCAATTGAAACGTGATAAAATCAAAACCGTGAGAGCAGAATTAATCCTAACAGGCTATTGTACTTTTGCAGTGATTTCTATTTAGTTTTGTGAGTAATTATTTTACTCCTGGCCCATTTGGTAGGAGTATAGTTTCTTTTGCCACTGTGTGGCAACATGATGTTGCAGTGAGTGGTGAACCTATGGGGTTTTTATTTCACTGTGTAGCTTGTGTAGCTGTGGCCAATTTCATGGGCACCTGCTGAGTACTGCTAT